GGGTTGAGGAAAGAAAGCACGGATGCCGCCTTTAGCCAAAAGTGCCATTTCGGCCGATATGTTTCGGCGGCATCCCTAACAGACACCGTTTTTTTGGTGTAGAGTACCGGTATTTTTTTTATTTTATTTTTTGGTACTCGCCGATACCAAGTACCGATACTGGTGCCTTGTGCCCCAATTACCAGGAAGGCGGGTGGCAGATCATGACCCCTAGCCTGATTTCCTGTGCAGCCGGTGTTCAAGTGAAAGAAACCGGCTTCAGAGGCTACCTACCGTGCTTCCCCGAAAATAAGACAGACACTGTCTTATATAAAAGACACTAGGTCTTCTTTTCGGGAGATGTCTTATGTGTACCTGGCTGCAGCTCTCCGCTCTGACCCCACTGGCTATGTCGCGCTGTGCCTGCTGGGAAATGTAGTCTTCCGCGAGAGCCGAGGCAGACAGGTGGGTGTGCGTGCGTGCGTGCGGGAGCTGCGGCCGGTCTTCACAAATAAAAAAAAAAATCAGTTGTGCAGCTACCCCGACAGTAAGACCTAGCGCTATCTTCAGGGATTTCTGTAATTAAGACCTCCCCCGAACTAGGTCTTACTTTCGGGGGAGGTCCTATATTACAGACATCCCCTGAAGATAGCGCTAGGTCTTACTTTCGGGGAAACGCAGTAGCTTCCTGACCAATCAAGAGGGGCGGCGAGTCATGATGTCAACCCGCTTCCTGATTGAAGCTGGCTTCTTAGCCACTTTTTTCTAGGTAGCGTGGCTTCCTGACCAATCAGGAGGCCAGGACAAGAGTCCACTGGGCTTCCTGATTGATTAGGAAGCCAGAATGCCTACCAGCAAGTGAAGCTGGCTTCCTTGCCAATCAGGAAGTCGGGCGGCACGTCACGACCCACCTCACAGCATCCCGATTGGCTAGGAAGCCGGGCTTCACTTTTTTTCTAGGCAGCGTGGCTTCCTGAATGAGCAGGAGGCCGGGATGCCCGGCTTCCTGATTGGTTAGGAAGCCAGGCTGCCTAGCAACAAGTGAAACAGGCTTCCTAGCCAACCAGGAAGCCAGGAGGCGGGCCATAACCCACCACCCGGCTTCCTGATTGGTAGGGAAGTCGGCTGTATGCTCCCTCGGCACTGCCGGTCAAAGGGAAATCTCCCTCTGACCAGAAGTTCCGGTATTGGGGAAGGTATCGGAACATTTGGACGAGTACAAGTGCCCGCCCAAATACCCAGTATCTGCACCGACATTAGTATCGGTACATCTATAGTGCAAATCCATTGTATTGATAGTTGTCATTTCTGAGCCTGATGAAGGGGACCCGGCGCGGCCCCAAAAGCGCTTGTCGATTGAGCAACAACGATCAATAAAATGGATTTTGTACTAACATGACATCTGGACGCCTGTGTTGGGTGATATGTACTATTGCATATAAAAGCCGCCCCCACAAAACATGTCACGGGTTACCTGTGGGGGCATGTTTTATGTGCAATACTAAGGCCTTGTTCACACCGAAAGCGTGTGCGTTCCAGAGCGGTAGCTGCTGGAACGCACCACGATCGCTGTTAAACT